CTAATTCTTTATAAATAAAATAAAAAGTTGCCCTGGCTGGTGTGGCTCAGTGGATTGAGCGCTGGGCTGTGAATCAAAGGGTCACGGGTTCAGTTCCCAGCGTGGGGCACATGCCTGTGTTGCTGGCCGGGTCCCCAGCAGGGGGTGTGTGAGGTGCAGCCACACATTGATTCTCTCCCTCTCTTTCTCCCCCTCTTCCCCTCTCTGAAAATAAGTGAATAAATTCATTTAAGAAAAAGAAAAAAATAAAATAAAAAGTACTACTTCCTGGTCAGAAGCAAAGCTAGCAGTAGAACCCAGATTTCCTTGGTAGAGCTCAAAGATTTTGTTTAGCAATATTTTCTTAGCGTGATTATAGGCCAGTTCTAGTTCATGGGGGGAAAGCAGGTCTGTGATGATGCTCTAACACAGTGCTCCTTAATTGGGGACATTGGGGTGGTTATAGACCCTGCTGAGAAGACTAGCTGCCGTTAATTCCATACCATGTATGCAGGTCACTTCGTGTATGTCATTTTTGACCCACACAATATTCTGCAAGGTGTCGTGTCCATTTTACAAATGAGAAATCTCAGAGTCAGAGCATGTCCCACTGATTGCTGACTTCAGCCCCATGGCCTCTGTGCTCTGCACCTGACCAGCAGTGCTCCACATCAGCCAGAGTCACGAGAGAGATCCTGCCAGAACAGTGTTCCTGATAACTACACTAATGTTCACAGATGATACAAACTGGAACAGATTTGAGTTGGTCTTGTCCTCTTATCGCCCTCATTTGCCTTTTGATGCACTTTCTGGAATATGAGAGAGAGGGAGTCACTGCCATTGCGCCAGAGACTCTACCCACAGCCTGTCTCATCTGCACTAGAGCCCCCGCTGAGTTAGTGCTCTGTTATTATTTGTTGCCACTGTTGGGAATTATTTTAGTACTGTACTTTCCTAGGAAGTTGTTTTGAGATTTATCAAAATCTGGATAATATATCTCCTGTGAAAGTTAAGAATGTAAACATCCCTTGTCAAAGAGAAAAAATACGTAACAAAAAAGAGGGTGGGAGGGATTTGGCCTGTGTGCTGGGACAGCGAGGAAGGGGGAAGAAGCATCTTGAGCTCTCTTTCCTCTGCCCCTTTAAAAAAATATATATGCTACCAGTTTCAGAGCTTGCAGTTTTGGGTTGAAAAGAGAGCTCAGCGTAAGTGATAAACTGTATCGGAAAGAATCTGGAAACAACAGGATGCACTCTAGGATTAGTTTTGTGTTTTCTAATGAATTTTTGTTTTCCTTTCTTAGCATTAGTTCAGAAGCAGGCCTAGAAATTGATAGCCAGCAGGAGGAAGAGCCAGTTCAGGCACCTGATGAGTCAGACCTTCCTTCCACCAGCCAGGACCCTCCTTCCAGCTCTTCTGCAGGTCAGTTCCTGCTCTTGACCACAGCGCAGCTTTGCACACCAAACCGGTTTGCAGCAGACACTTTTATTAGTAACAATTCAGCAGTCTTTTTTTCCTGAAGTTTAAATTGCTTTATTTAAAAGGGAAATTTTATTTTATTACAGGGAATTTGGTTTATGTTAAAGGGAATTGGTTGTGTCATGTTAACAATGCTAAGGGGGCTCTGGGGCACGGGTTACTGGGGGGAGGCTAAGGAGCAGTGCCCCAGGCTTCCTTCCTGCCCCTGTTTAAACCAGAGCAGCTCCGTCTTGGATTGTTTTACATAGTAGCATTCTACTCATGTACACTCGGATACAGAGAGATGAGAGGTGTGGGTTGGGCGGGGGAGGGGTCTTTAAAAAGTTGAGACTTACTGATGGAAACAGTTTTAAAGTGTGGCTTTTCACATTTTTGAAGTTAACTTTGAAAAAGGTTATTTTGCCTTTTTTTGAGAATAAAACGATTTGTGCAGCAGTGCTTTTTAAAAATAACATTTGTTGAGCACTTACTATGTATCAGGCAATATGCTAAGCTCCTTACATATATTTACTCATTCAGTTCTCACATCAGGCTGATGTGGTAAGCACTCATCCTCATCTTATAATCATGGGAACTGAGACACTGACAGGCTGAGTGCAGGCTCACAAAGTTTGGCTCCAGAGGCTCCAGGCTTAACATACTATACGAGCTTCCCTGTCCCAAAATTTTTAGGTAGGGAGTTACTTTGTTTTTAAAGAAATATAGTACTCAGTCTTCCACTCTGATTATTTTCATTGAATTGTTTATAGCCGTCATTCTCAAACTCTGCCAATTTTTAAAAGAGATGCTCAGTTGTTAACATTTTTCAATCAGGGAACATTGCCATCTCGAGATCTCGTCTCCCTCAACATCAACCTGTTAGCCAACATTTCTAGTTTCCAATCTCATATCCACCTTTTAACAGCTAGTAACTTTAAATCACTGCACATTTCATTATGAAACATGGACTTTTATAACATCTTGCAGCCAAGATTAGAAATAATGTATATAAATTATATAACTCAATACTTCACACATAGTAAGGCTCAAAAATTATAACTATCATATGTATTAATAATACAGTTAGTGCCCTGGCCAGGTGGCTCAGCTAGTTGGAGCATCATCCCGTACATCAACAGGTTATGGGTTCGATTCCCAGTCATGGCACATAGCTAGGTTGTAGGTTCCATCCCCATTCAGGGCATATACGGGAGGCAACAGATTGATGTTTCTCTCATTGATAATCTGTCCATCTCTCTTTCTCTGTCTATCTGTCTCTCTCTCTTTCCTTCCTTCTCTCTCCCTCTTCCCTCGTCCTCCTCCTCTCGCTCTCTTCTTCCCACTGTCAAATCAATGAAATTTTTTTTTAAACTTATCCTTGGATGAGGATTAAAAAAATAATAACAGCCCTGGCTGATGTGGTTCAGTGGATTGAGCACTGGCCTGCAAACCAAAAGGTCACTAGTTTCATTCCATCAAGGCATAACCCTGGGTTGCGGGCCAGGTACCCATTTGGGGGCATGCAAGAGACAACCGATTGGTGTTTTTCTCGCACATCAATGTTTCTCTCCCTCGCTTTCTCCCTCCCTTCCCCTCTGAAAATAAATGAAATATTTTTTTAAATAAATAAAATAATACAATATTAATGAAGTTCTGTGCCCCCAGTTATATTCTGACATTCCACGAGAATTGTCTTTTTTCAACAGAATTGGAACTAGTTATATCTTACTAGAACTTGCATGAAAAAATATTGGTCTTGATCCCTTTTACAGTATAATATGAAATTAGGATCTCTCTAAATTTACTTAATAATATAAAACACTAAACTTTCCCATCTGAGCAGTTACTCATTTGGTAAACAAATATTTGGTACCTACCATGTGCCAGGCAATTTCACAGAAAGCACTACTAAGAAAGTGACCTTTAAGTGAAGACCTGAGAGAGTGCGAGAAGGAAGCTCTGCAGTCATTTGGGGGAAGAGTGTTCTAAGATGAGACAAGTAGCAGATGCAGAGTCCATGAGGCAGGAGTGTGACTTGTTCAAGATCAGCAAGGAAGCCAGTGTGGCTAGACTGTAGTAAGCACAGAGAGAGACTAGCACGTAGTAGAAGGGGTGGGGGGATAAATCCAGTAGATCCTATAATTTCTTTGACTTTCATAGAGGAAGCAGTGTCTGTTTGGCTGCTGTGTAGAGGAGAGACTAAAACGAGTAATGAGACAGAAACAAGGAGAAAATTTGAAGGATATTGAAGTAATTCAAAGTAATGATGTTTTAGACAGAATTGTAGAGTTAAGGTTGTGAAAGGAGGTCAGATTTGGGATATATATTTAAATTTGAGGTGGCAGAATTTCTGATGATTGAGTTTGGGCATCTGTAAAGGAGAAGACTCAAACGTGGCTTGCAGTATATTGTGATGGGCTCTTTGTTTCCTATTTTTGTTTTCCATTGTATTCCTCAGCTTCTGCTCAGTGTGTGATACATGGATATAGGCACCAAGTAAATATTAAATTAGTTGAGTGAATGAATGAAAAAAGTCAAGAACTTATTTTTTCAAACAAAATGTTTTTTTATCCTTTTTGTTTGTTAAAAAGTCCTACTTAAAAACTTTTAAATACTGAAAACAAAGTGGACTCCTGCATTTTATCCCTGCATTCAATTTTTGTCATTATAACTGCTTTTTGTTTTTTGACTTGCTTTCTTGTATCTTAATGTTTTTCATCTTAGATACTAGCAGTAGTCAGCCAAAGCCTTTCAGACGAGTGAGACTTCAGACAACATTAAGGCAAGGTGTCCGTGGTCGTCAGTTTAACAGACAGAGAGGTAAATTTCTAACATATTGACTACATGATGTGGGATGCTAATAAATGGAACAACTTTTCTAATCCTTAAGCTTCCAATTTGTATCTCATTTTTTTTCAATGTTCCAAGGATTGATTAAATAATTATGCATTGAGTATATGATGTTCCCTAATCTGTAAACTTCTTGTAGACAGATACAGTATACCATAGGTGTGTAATGAATATATGCTTCTATTTATTCATTTATTCCTTGAATTCAAAGTAATATTTGGAAAAGCTGAAGTGTTTTTGTGTTATGTATTCATTTGGTACATCTCTGCCTATTTTAGTGTATATAACAGAATAAAGTTTTGTGACTTTGTTTAGCTAGTTAAAAAAATGTAAAATTTTAATATTTCCATGTTTTCTAATGTAACTATTTAGAAATTACATTCATGTCATAAAAATATTAACCTAATTGTAATGATTTTCATTGAAAATGTGAAATGTTTAAATTAATAATTTTTGAAAACACATTTTATAATGCTGGGGTAAGTGAATGTTCTAGTTTGGGGCTGACTTCTTAAAAGACACATTCAGTTTGATTCTTTTTTTTTCTCTCATAGGTGTGAGCCATGCAATGGGAGGGAGAGGAGGAATAAATAGAGGAAATATTAATTAAATGTTCTGTAAACTGTAATAACTGTGAATAAGATTGTTCAATCTGTGTTAGTGTTAACGATTGTTGAGTTTTAGAAAAATTTGTATTTAAAGTGGTATGCTTATCTCAACCTTCTTTATTAATAAAATGTATTTCAGTGTCAAAAGTTATCATTTTTTGTTTTCATTGTCAAAATTTATCATTCTTTTCTTCATTTTCATTATCTCTTCCTCTGCTCACCAGTCTAAGGACAGTTGTACCAGACATTGGATAAGGTCTGCCCAGAGCGAGTAGTGACAGGTCTTGCGATGGCTGTTACTGTCTTCCTGGGCACATCGAGGTTGTAGTATCGATCTAAAGAGAGAAGTCATTTTATTAATTAAAAGGGAAAAAAACACACCTGAATTTAAAAATGGATTGTGTTGATTATTATACTCAAAGGTAGTATTTATCATTTTACCAGCAGAAATGTTTCTAATTAATTTGAACTTTCTGACTAAAAGGGAAACAATTGGCAGATTGACCTTTTACCACCTTCTAGTAAAATTAGCTTTAACTCTCCTTCTTCAAAGTAAAAAATTTGCGAAAACCAAGTTAATTTTAAAAATAATATTTTTGCTTGTTTTAATTCTGATGTCATTTATAAAGGCAGAATAACAAATTTTTTGATTTTTCAGAAAAAGTGCCTCAAGTAATGTAATTTAATTAATAAAATTACTTTCTCGGGAACTTCTCTCTGACTGTGTAATGATGCAGATCAATAAAACTTTATGGCCAGCCGGGCCTCCATTTAATGCCACCAATGACAGAAGTAAAATATTGTTTATAAATACATAGTTTTAAGTTCTCACCTTCAGTTACCATTAAACGCTTGGTGCTTTTGTTTTGATTATATTTGTATTTCAGAGATTAGATCACTTCTTTGGGAAGCTCTTAAGATTGCACATAACGTACCATTAGAAAAGGCATAGTAATCGTAGCCATCGGGTTTTCGGCTGTTGGGTAGTGACACGGCAGAAGTCACCACACTGGGAAGCCTCCTCCACAGTGAACTCACTTGCTCTTCACCAAGGAGGAAACCTGTAGATGACACTGGAAGAGCAACTATTACAGGCAGACAGACCTGGTTAGCCTAGTTTTTGCCCTCTCTGAGATGGTGCTAGTGCTGACTTTTATCACTGTTTTGAGGGTTATAGATTTATGTATAATGTTGGTGAGAGATACTTGATAAACAGTACTTATTATAATTCACAAACATTCAGACTGCATTCCTTACCCACAAGGAAAAAGAATATTGGTCTTTGATCATTCACTGAGGCACATGGATGCTTTGCATCAATAAACTTAAATTATTAGGATTGTTTGGGCAGTTTTATATTTAATAAGCCTTACTTGATAAGAAACTCTGTTACATCTACTTCATGTATAATAATTTTTAACAGTAAGAAAAGTTACCTTTTTCTTGATAGAGGACTTTGACAGGTGTGTATTGAATTCTGATGGTGTGTGTTTGAGGTCCGATAGCCCGTTCAAAACGACGTTTCCTAATCTGTGTTGTTTCTCCAAACACTGGATAATGGATAGCAGGCCTTCTAGCAGCACACTTCCTGTTGGGTTCCTGTTTATAAATATACTGCTGCACTCGGCCCCCTGTCATGTATTAGGAAATCATATGCAAATTAAAATTAATTTTAATCCCCCCCAAAAAGAGAAAAAACAGCTTTTACTAGGTGGGAGAAACAATGTTTTTCATAAAGTATGTATAGACATTAATAATGGCTATTCATCAAGGGTACTATGAAAATAATAACTGAATCTTGAAATACTTAAATGAATAAAGCCAACAGACTGCATAGTTATATACTTTGTGTGAAAGTAAATGATGACATTCTTCATATTGCTGACCAGAAACTCAGGTGAAATTTTGGTTTGCATCTTGGGAGATCTGAATATTTCTTAGTGCCCTCGGTTTTTTTAATTGAAAATTCTTGATCCAGCCATTAAAGATATCTTCTGACAGTAAACCCAGTAGTAAGTAAAAATATTCAGTAAAAAATTTCCTGGCAAATCAGTTCTTGAAAGTTGTATAATATTGTCAATTATGTAACACATACCTCTCTTGAAAAAGTACACAGATTCGGGTCTGTCCTTATATTTAGGTATTGAAAGAGCTGCCACTATTTTTCCTGTTAGTCCTCCAAATCCTTTTACAATTTGTTTGGGATACCCAGGGTCTTGTATATCATTGGTGAAACGCCAGTACTGAGAATCCTGTTCATTTAAAAGAGGAAATGATGTTAACAGCTTTTGGGAAAAAAAGTTAGGAATTTATTACTAGATTTAAGTATAGGCAGAAGGTTTTAACTTAGGTGTTTGAATAAGTTGGCCATTAATGTTACCAAATTATGTTAACTTCTTATTAAATTTTGATGGTGGAAGAGTTCATTACATTATGGAAACCCTTCCGAAGCGGAGGTTGAGCTGATGTGTTTTTATAATAAAGAATAAACTATTTGCTGATTTCCCTCAAAGATAGTTGTCTTACCTTAAAGAAGAAAGTTTTTCCGTCACAGTTGCACCTAGTAAAAACAGTATCGATGGGGGAGGGAATACCCCAAACTTCAGTAATTCTACGAGGAGGAGATGGTGGACTGGATGGATTAAGCATCCAGAAATAGTGACCTAAAATTGAAAGTGATCGATCAGCCTATAAGCTGAATGAATACTAAAACCTATCCAAAAGAAACCAAAATGAAAAAAATTGTAATCATTTTAAAAGCATTGAATGGATTAACAAGCATTGTATGGCCAGAAGTCTAGTGAGAACCGCACTGGTACAGAACATAGTAGTTGAACACTTCGGAGAGTACAACATTTCTCAAGTCTGAAATGTAGCATAACCTTTGAAATATTTTATTTTTTCAGTTTCTCTAGAAAGAGCCTTCTGACTTTGGGACTTGACAGAAAGTCACTTTCCTCTCAATTTACCTTTCAGAATTAAGGAGGTATAATTAGAGGACTGCTGAAATCTTTACAGCTTCTACTGAGCAAGTCTGTGACTTCCTAAGTGTAAGGAATCAGGGCAGGTAACTCCTCCACAGAGTGGAACACGTGAGCACAACACAATCAAGATGTTACTTTCAAATGCAACTAGAGCAGGGAAAACAAATCCTGATGCCATCTCATTTGATAAGGAAATTAAAATTTGAACTAACCCTTTAATTCCTAAGAGTGGAAAAATTTGGTATTGTTTCAAGCTTTTCGTTACTCTGTCTAATTTTGTTAATCCAGTTATTTTAGTAATTACTTCCCAGGTTTTCCTAAGTTGTGTGAGGCCAGGTCATTGATCAGGTTCCCCTTCAGAAAGCTCAAACCAAACCTACCCTCTGCTATGGCTTTGGTTCTCATAAATACCAAGAACAAAATGATGGGCAGAAAAAGAAGTATGTGCATAGTTCACCTCGAAATGCAACTAATGTCCCATTGGCCAGCGTAGTCAGTCCGTCTACCGGCTTACCATTGCATAAATTAGTCTCATCTAAAACAAATTAACAAAAAGTTAAGTCAATACAAAACAAGAAGTTTTTCAAATCCTCCCACAGAGTTCCGTTTCCTCTGTTCACCTCATCCCAAACTCTTGAAGGGTATATAGTTCGAGGTGCATGAATTTTACAGGCAAAAGAAAAGTGATATATTTCATAATCATTTTACTTAAAGGTGATACTATCCAAGAAGTATATTAAAATAAGTGGTGAATTGGAATAGGCCAGGTTAACTAATCTGTAAGTAAATTTTTATTTACTGGATGTTTGCTCTCAACATAACATGCCATTTTTTAGTTCTGATTGCCCTTTGGAATTGGTTTGGAAAAGAGTAACATTGCAGATTTTTGCTCTGCATCATACTTTCTTTTAAGGATGGATTCCAAACTAAATATTTTGGCATTCTGTACACTCTTCTCTGCTTACAGACGCACTAAGTTCCTAACACTAGGTCATTTCTCAGTTTTCCAAAGATCAAATCATCCTACTGTGATTAGTCCTCTTGCCTAGAGAGAAGCTGTAAAGCTCAACAAGTTCAGCGTTCTGGGTAATATACATGATATTAAATCAGGGCATTCCAGTTCTGGCAGAACTACCTTAACATGGCCAACCTTAAAAAGCGCGAGTAACTGATTCTCTTTACCTGAGAGCATGGGGTTGATGCCAATAGCCTGGTTGGGTCCTCTCACTATGAAATCAGTGCCTGGAATAACGATAGGAGTTAACACCTGGGGCCTGAGGATCACAGAAGGTTCTCCTTCAGCAGTATTTGCATCTTCATTTTTGGGATTTTCTTCAACCGCTTCTGAGTTGGGAGCCCGGTCAGAGCTGGAGGTGGTTTGGAGCGTGGTTTTCTCCGAAGAGGCTTGGTTCAGCGTAGGCACAGTTGATGTAGTCATCTTTGGAGGAGATGGTGTCGGCTTTGGTTTTCGCACTGCGGGTGTTGTGTTTGGCTTTTTGGTAGAAGTGGGCGTTTGGGGCGCTTCTGTTGGATTTGGGAGTTTAGAAGTTATTTTAGAATTAGTAGCTATATATTCTGATGTCGTTGTTGTCTCTTCAGGCGTATTCATAGACTCTTCAGTTGTAGTAGTTGTCTTTTTTGTCATAGTCGTCACCTTGGAAGCAGGAGTTGTTTCCTTAGGAGTAACTTTGGATGATGTCGTGGTATCCTTGGTTGTAGTAGTTGTTACCTTCACGGTTGTAGTTTTTTTGGATTCAGTGGTCTTTTCTTCTGTTGGAGTTGCTGTATCTGCTGTTGTACTCTTTGATGTAGCAGTTGTAATTTCAGTTGTGGTGTGCGTGGCTTTTTCTGTTGTCTTACCCTTCTCTGTGGTAGTCATTTCAGGTTTGGTTCCTTCAGGAGCTTTGGTTGTAGGTACAGCAGGCTCCTTGGGACTGTTTTCAAGAGCCTCTGCAGTGGGTTCTGCAGGAAACTCAGGAGTGAATGCAGCAGGACTCTTGGGAGGAGTGGGAGGCTCCGTGGTGGTTGCTGGAGTAGAAGCCTTCAGGGTAGTTGGAGCAGGTGTCTTGGGAGAAGTTGGAGCAGGCTTCTTGGGGGTGGTGGGTTCAGGCTTCTTGGGTGTGGTGGGTTCGGGCTTCTTGGGGGTGGTGGGCTCGGGCTCCTCGGGGGTGGTGGGCTCGGGCTCCTCGGGGGTGGTGGGCTCGGGCTCCTCGGGGGTGGTGGGCTCGGGCTCCTCGGGGGTGGTGGGCTCGGGCTCCTCGGGGGTGGTGGGCTCGGGCTTCTTGGGGGTGGTGGGTTCGGGCTTCTTGGGGGTGGTGGGTTCGGGCTTCTTGGGGGTGGTGGGCTCGGGCTTCTTGGGGGTGGTGGGCTCGGGCTTCTTGGGGGTGGTGGGCTCGGGCTTCTTGGGGGTGGTTGGCTCGGGCTCCTTAGGGGTGGTGGTCTCGGGCTCCTTCGGGGTGGTGGGTTCGGGCTCCTTGGGGGTGGTGGGCTCGGGCTCCTTGGGGGTGGTGGGCTCGGGCTTCTTGGGGGTGGTGGGCTCGGGCTTCTTGGGGGTGGTGGGCTCGGGCTTCTTGGGGGTGGTGAGTTCGGGCTTCTTGGGGGTGGTGAGTTCGGGCTTCTTGGGCGTGGTAGGCTCGGGCTTCTTGGGCGTGGTAGGCTCGGGCTTCTTGGGCGTTGTGGACTCAGGCTTCTTGGAGGGAGTGGTGGGAGAAGGCTTTTGAGGGGTGGTAGGAGTAAGAGATTTGGTTGTAGTTTCAACTTCGGTGGTAGATTTAGCAGAAACGGATGTAGTTACCAAATCTTTAACAGATGTTTTTCCTGCACTTACTGTCTCTTTACTTGAAGTAGTCGTCTCTTTTGCACTCGTTGTAGTCTCTTTAGTTATAGAAGTCTCTTTAGTTTCAACTGTTGTCTCCTTATTGGCTGTCGAAGTCTCTTTGGATGTTTCAGAATTAGGCGGTGGACTGGGTTTAGAATTTTTCGTTGTCACTGTTGTAACCTTGGAGGTTGTGGTAACTTGACTGCGTTCGGTGGTAGGCGTATCAGGAGTTGAGGTGGGCTTGAAATCACCATTGTCCAGTCCACTTCCGGCTTCGTCTACAACTGGTGGTTGCGGGGCAGGTCTCTTTTTAGGAGGTGGTTTCTTGCTGTCTTTTACTAGAGAAAAAAACACATCTTTTATTTGAGGGTAGGTTTTTTTTTTTGTCTTTAATAACAATATAATGATCCTCTTCTTATCACTGACTATGTGTCTCCAGGCAGTTTGCCAATCTCTTATATGTTTGTTAATGTATTGCAAAATGTTGAATACTCAACCTATCTTACTGGGCTATTTATGGAAGTGAAGGAGACAAGGGGTGAAAAGCACAAGTAAAACTATACGATAAACACACGGAAGCAAGCGGCAAATTTGAAATTCCAGCATGCTCAACCACACCAATTCATGTCTTTACATGAAAGCTCTTCCGCCTTCCCTTTCTCCACTGTGGTAGTCCTCATTGCTCAGTGCCCCTTCCTGCCTCCCGGAAACCTAGTTCCAACATCTCGTAGACTCTCTGCATCAATTCCCTGAGACGCTGCTACAACTACATCCAAGGATGCTCTGGTCACCCGCATTCTCCCTGCTGAGCCCTGTTCCCTACACTGGGCTGCTATTGTCTTCCATCTGGCCAGCCCCTGGAGGTATGGAGAGGAGATTAGGATGCTGAGGCAGCAAAATGACCCTGTTTAACACGATCTGCCTTAGCATATGCCTCATGGGGGAGCTAAAGCCCCAGGGGTACTTTGCTCAGATGAGTTCCATTTAGCAGACAAGTGTTGCACTTCCATGTGTGCAAGACTCTGGATGACTCAAAGATTCAATATCTGGCTATTCAGCTAGAGACAGGGCTTCAGGGAGAAATCACAACCACCCAGGGAATAGTTCTTTAAAACTCCAGTATCCAAAATCCAGTATTTCCTGGGGAAAGAGAATATAGTTTAGAATTTCAGGAAATAGCAAGCAGAGCAAAGGGAACTTCCTTTCAGGAGGCAATTGTCTACTCTGTAGTACATTTTGTACCACAGAAAAATCAGCCAGATATGACATCTAATTGGTTAGGAAAATAATAAGACCTGTAAAATGCGGAGAATAATAGTCTTTCCCAGAAAGTTGTATGAGAATTTAATAAATTAACATTTTAAAGCAGTATATAAAAAATGTTTGTTAAATAAAATAAAAGAAATCTAGAGGAGGAAAAACAAAAAGCACAAGGAAGACAGAGGAAGAAGAAAGGAAAATGGTATCGGGAGAAAACCACAATCATCTTTGGCGCCATCCTGTGCATCCACAATTTCTGTTACAGCATCTTCTTAACCTTTGATTTAAAGAGTGGTTTCTTAGCTGCTTGGCACTAATTTCCTATAAGAAGTTTGTGTTGGTATCCTCTACAATAATTTTTATAAAGTTATATACCCACTCCTCCCCCACCCCGAAATACTGAAACATCCTCAAACCACTCTACCAACACGCATTACTTTTAGATAATGATTGTTATGGCATTGATATAGTCTTTGATCTTTATCAATGCTCAAACCTTTGGGTTTCTTCTTTAATTCTCTATTAGCAGCTGAATTTTTGGAAGACTTGAATTTCCGAATACTTGAAGAGGAAGAGGAAGAGGAGGAGGAAGACTCTTGATTTTCAGAAACAGAATGTTCTACAAATCAAATAAAAAGGTTGATCACACCAATTGTGATTTAAAGCAAAGAAGAACCGCCAGTCCAAATTCAACAAAAAAAATGCTGTTTACTGGTCTATAAATGCCTGTGTTCTGATTTTATTTTATCAGTAAAATGATCCACTGCCCTTCGAATTTGTCAGTTAAAAGCAAGACACTTGAGCTTATCACAGACACTAGCAATACAACTGTATAACTTTCTCATATCTCACAGAATCTAATTATTCAAAAAAAATTCATGGTCCTTTTCTTTTTTAACATTAAGACTTGCTGCTTCTGATTATTCTAACCTAGGCGCTTACTGGGTTCAGTAAATAAGGAAAATAAATATCTGAGTTGGGTTTATACTTTAGCTTAAACTTCAACTTAAAACAAGTAAACAAAAAGCATAATGAGCCTTCAATGACTCAAGATTACCCTGTGCTATGAGGAGTCTTACAAAAGCCATCACCTACAGGTTATCTCAAGTAAGAAACCTCCTTTTGTTAAATCTGTCATCTTCCTACCTTCTGTTATTTCCTCTGATTCTATAACTTTCTTAGTCTTCTTCTTGTCTGCGGATTTGGGTGAACGTTTGGTTGTTGATTTGACGGACTGAGGTGCTCCCGCAGGCGGAGGCGCAGTCTTTGGGGACGGCGGTGTTGTGGGGTTATGCACTGAGGCCAAGCAAGACAGATCGGTTAACATCTGTTTACATGCATCAGCGACTTAACTGAGAAAGCCATGATGCATCGGCTTCGAGAAGAGATGCTGATGAGCACCAGCGTGGCAGGCTTCAGCCCAACACTAATGACTTCAAACCAATTAATTCTGAGGGCACATTGCTATAAAACATTGGTTCCCTAGTTGGTATAAGTTATGACGGAGCAAAGGCTCAGGAGTCAGAAGGATTCCATTCCTAGGCTCTACCATTGTGACCTTGGGGAAATGGGTGAATCCCTCTTGAACTTCTTTTCTTGTTCGCAAACAGATGTTTATTCTAGATGATTTCTGGAGGTATGTGTCTGTCTAAAAATACGACTTTGTAAACTCCATCCCTCAGGCCTGCCTTCCGTGATCAAAATAATGAACTGCATGTAGGTGAGAAATATAATAATTAAATTGTTTTATTTTCATATTCTCTTAAGTGATGTCAATTTACCTTTCTTTTATTCTTTTTAATTACGAAAGTGCTACATGGCTATTTCCTCTTGTGAAACTGCCACGACTTCACATTGTGCTTCTCTCAAAATCTGTTGCCCTTTCCCCAGGCTAAACAGCTGTTAGTGGTTTGACATGTTTCTTTTAAACTTCGTGTCCCACCTCCGCCCGCCTCTTTCCACATCTAGAAAAGAAGCCACATTTTGATCATTAGGAACCAGAAGAAAAGGAGGAGGACTTCTGAAAGACCGGAAAGCAGAGAACAGTGGGGACGCTCCAGGTGGGGGAGCATCATCCTAAATCCTGCCGTGCACCGCGCCTCTCTCTCCCTCTCTGCCCCCAACAAAAGCAACAAGGACCTCAATTTGAGAAACTGTTCTACCACATAACTAGCTAGTGATCTTCAGCAAAACACTTAACTGCTTGAACTGTTTTTCTCACCCACATTCATAGCTGGACAGCTGATTCTTCCACTTCTTGAAATGCTACGACATCGAGATACACAGATGCCTACCAGCAGGGTCTCTAGCAATCTTGAAACAGCGAAGTGGTGAATCACAAGGTAATTTGGTTGCTGTTTTCTAAAAATGAAGTATTGAAGCTCTAGCTGTTTTTTTTTATTTTCAGATGGGCCCCCGACTATCTGTGAATTCTTTGCATGAAGCATTACCCTCATCAGTTTTTTCCACTGAGTTCTCCTCTAACCTCAGGCAATCTGACCGACCACTTGGTAGCATGAAGCGTATTCTTCATTAACAGGTTCTTCAGTGCTTCTTCACTTTCTAACCATCCTCCCTCACCACCTATCCTCTGCCTGAAATGCGTTCTTAGTTTCCTGTCTCACAGCCAAAACAGTTCTCAGGGCCCTGAGTAAATATGTCCCACCCACATGCATCCTTCTGGAAGCTGCAGGAACTCTGCACTCAGTTTGTGATTACAAGGGTGTTGCCTCCTTTATTTTTGGAATGCTTTCCAATGAAAACATTGAACAGTGAAGAAACGTCTCTCCGCTCTGCTGCTGAACAGTCTTCCACCCTGTTTCTCCACTGTTCGAAAGAAGCAGGAGGCGCAGCCTTGTTTAAATAAAATGATAAGGTTATGCAAGCAACGCTTATTTTCACATTCTTCCACAAACATTCTTGTTTTAACGAAGTAGGCTTTAAGAACAAATATTTGGTGAAAGAAAGGAATCCATCGCTTAAGTATATTTTTTAAATCTTGAGGGGTTTTGGTAAAATTCAGACAGTTTTATTATACTCTCAGAGTACCCCTTCAGGCCCTAGAACCAGAGAAGACTTTAAGGTGGGACTATCACACACAGGCACCCGCAAAGATCACTGAGGTGGCTTTCCACAGGTGGGAAGAGACATACAAGGCACAGTTAACAAATGCTTGGTAGGTTGGTTTGTAAATTTAGTGCCTTAAACTAATCCCTAAATTTACTAGTTCAGAGAATGTGAAAGAGTCAATTCTCTCCTTAAATACACACTGAAAAGCATGAATGCTGAAAGCTCAGATAGCTCAAAGGACAGGTGACTGTGGGGCCCGCACCATTCAGGTGAGACAAGAAGCCATGAAGCGAACTGGTTACTGTGGATTGAACCCACAACTGAACGACACCTGAAGGAAAAAGCATTTACACTCAGACCCCGTGGTGTCTGTCACTCAACAGACTATGTCCGCGCTCCTGGAGCCTGGCTGGGCCAGGGAGTACCGTTGGAAGAGGTTTTCATTCTCTAATTCACCTTGGTGAAACAAAATTAATATGAAATAGCTCATGTGTTAGTAAAATGAAGACCTTGGAGAGGCCGCGTGTTAGACATCACCGGCGAGGCCAGGTGGGCGCAGGGCTCCGGCCACACCGGGAGCGCCGGCCAGCCCGGGAGGCTTACCTTCTTCGCAGAAAGCGGCGTAGTCCGGACAGCACTTGCCGTACTTCTTACATTCTGAGTCACAGTCACACTCCCTGCCTCTGGCAAAGGACTCGAAGCAGCGGCCTTTACAGGAAAGGTCTACCCAGAGCAAAAGAAAACATCATGGGTTATTGACGTTCGGCCACACCCCTGCGTGGAGAGCCATTGCCCACCTTCTAGCTGACCAGAGCTCCGCAGATGCATTTCCAAGTCTTTTATTTAGAATTCGGAAATGAAGGGTCTCCCGGGGGGAGGAGACAGCCCAAGTAAGAAATGTGGTTACTTAGGGAAACTTTTCTTGCCCTTCAAGGCTTCGAGAGATACCGCAATGCTACCTGAGTCATTGACATGTATGGACAATGGAAATTTGGGAAATGTCTCAAAAGTAAGTCACCCTTCCTATGAAATCCCTCCATCGTCTCTCCTCCTCACAGCACTCCTTCGTGATAGATATTTTGTTCATTTAACGTTCACATCCTACAACAATATATTCCAAATGGGTCAACGATTCAGCTCAAAATTATTTATAATACAGAGAACTCCATTATGAGAAAACGGGCAGGGCATGGAGTTGAAAGATTTCAGCCTATTCCAGGGCACGGTCTACGTAAACCAGGCCAGCTTATACCAAAAACAACTTCGGTGAGAGGCACGATGGCTCCATGGAGGCCGGTTTGAAATAATTACCTACCCAACACATATTTATCAGCTTCACATGCAAATGCTAAGGCAAAAATAACTTTGAAACAATTTTAATTATAATTTCTATAAATTAAATAGGAAATGTTTCTATGTTGGCAACAAAATGGCTCTTAATACATTCAAGTGAAATACCACCTACCCTTAATTGAAAATTCAGACCCTTTGGGTTTTTGTTCATTAAACACTAACTCTTCATCTTTAATGTGCCATTTTCAGGTAAATTAGGAACATGTTAATATAAAGAAGTCAAGTAGTAGACAACATCATTTCATGTCCACGGATTCTTCTGATGAAATCACCAAAGGGCCCCATCGCTAAGCAATTACATCCCATTACTATTTACTTAATGACTCGGAGTCACAGTGTGAAGTCTCTATTTAAAACAAGACCGTTTGCTTGGCACTAACCCAAACCCTTGTGCAAGCTGACAGATTGTCAGGCCTCCCCGCAGCGTTGACACCATCCTGAGGCACAGCGCACCGCAACAGTTAGGCAAGTGAAGGGAAAGGCACTTGAGCAAATAGAAGTGCAATAGGGTGAACGCAGCACAGCAAGGGCACTCCGGAGAACAGGATGCTTGACAGAGGAGGGGACAGCAGCTCTGAGGACTTACCCACAGTGCAGACTCTCTTGAAATCAGGGCAGCACTCCATGTAGTGTTGACAGTTATAGTCACAGCTGCAGGGGGCATCTCTAGAATACCCTTCCCCGCATCTCCCTGCACAGCTTGATTTATCTAAAATTATACAATATAGTGTAAACATGGCCAAACCACTTCACAGAAAGGGTGAGACCCAAGGAGGACAAAGCCACCTGGGGAGAGAGAATCTTGTCTGTTGGAGAAGGCTGGGAATGAGAGCGATGGGTGCAGGGGATCTTGGCCTGATCTCCTATGAGACCCACTTGATTCTTTGCTAGACTGAGAAGAGCAACACTCTTTTGAAAATCAGTCACAGTAACAGCTTTACACCCCTCCCGGGAGGCGGATGGCAGCTGCAGCTCCATGCTGCTGCTAAGGTGATGGCTTGTTGCCATTATTTGAGCATCTTTGTGCTGGGCACTGAGTCATACATTATAATGCTTAAGAAATGTTGCCAAGAGATAGTATTAACTCCTTTTTGGAGACAGGAAAGCTGAAACATTGAAATTTTAATAACTTGCTCAAGGGCACCCAGCGAGTGAACAGATCCAGTATTACAGGTCAGTGAATACCTGCTAATTATTCGTGTTGACCTCTTTCACTCTCAAAAGTGTCCTGATTTGGATGATAAATATTGTGGCCATCTTAAGTCACAGCCCATGTAGAATTTGACCTCTGATACATAGGAATCTAAAGTCTGAACTTGTTCTACCCAATCACAGTGCCTCTTATTTTTGATGATGAGTTTAAAGTAAGCTCGTTATACCAGCCCAAACTTTCCTAGGCTTCCCTTTTTTTTTTTTTTTTTAACTGGTGGGTGTAACTGGGTGCTTTAAGAGTCAGAGAAGTCAGATGATTGCAGAAAATGACTGTAAAATAGATAATGCTTGAAATAGCATCTGGACATGAATATAAAAGTCATGAACAGAGGTTTTCTGGGTAAAACAAAACAAAAGCCTAATTACCCTCAAATATATTTTCAAAATCATTTGAGAAACACCTTGCAAACCTCCCTGAGAGATAATCCCAGACATGGAACAATTGAATCCATCTCTGGAATAGAAATTAGCAGGTGCAATGTCCTAAATCCATAGAAAGACGTTGAAACACACTGAAAAATAGCTCAAAATGATGAGTCCAGGAGAGTTAAAGTCTTAATATGCAAATAAAACAGCAAATATTAGGACAACTTTTAGAAGTTTTTGCATACATATGCGCACAATACACACAAAATGCATATATAGCGTATATATAAAAATACATATATATAAAGATAAAAGGGAATGGGAAGAGGTTGAGAGGGCAAGAAAAGCAGACAAGACAACATCTAAATGTTCTTTTTTTTTTTTTTTTTTTTACCACTAGCAGATTTCTGAAATAGGACATCAAATGTCTTTACCGGAAAAGTTTATTTTCATAGATTAAATGTCGGTCCTACTCTTGCTATTCATTTTAACAACTGATTTTAAATTCCTTCACTTAAAGGAAAGGAAGTCCGGTTTAGTGGACAACTGACTCTAACCCAGAAGAAAGGCGGATTAGGAAGCGCCCCCCCCCGCCGCCCCCCTCCGTGCTGTGAGCCGCGCAGTGCTATTTTGAGAGCTCAGAAGCGCTCGGTGGAGACGCCAGACAGTCATCGTTCCTTACGAAACATTTACATTTGCTCTCGTGCGTGTTCCACCTTTTCTTATCTAAGCGATTCTGAAACGATGCCCATGGCAGGCGGTTATCGCTCTCGCGCAGGTTCATGATCATTTTAATTACTTTACTGGAAATGGCTATTTTGTAAATGTGATTTCCCCGTGACAGTCATGCACCTAAGACCCAATGACATTCACATCTGGGTAAGTCCGTAGGTGGATGAACAGTCCTTATAAGAAAGAGAGAACATTTTCAAGATTAATAAAATGCCATTTCAAACATTGCAAATGTTCACTGTAACACGATATTTGTATCTACATTATGGCAAAGTAGGTTATTTATTAATAATTTATGTAAGAGATCAAATTTCTTTGCAAACACATAGATAAAAATCATGTGCTATTTAAATATTGTTCTTATCAGTTTATCAGATAATATTATGTCATTCCAGCAACATCTGTATATTTTTTAACTTTTGGGAGAACCATGGGAATAATGAGTACAAAAATTATTCGATAGGAAAGCTCAAAAGATCTTGAAAAATTTTGTAATCCAGGGGACAAATTGAGAATTTCAAAAATGCTTATAAATATGTTACATATGTTTTACATAATTATAAGTTTGTACTCTGCATTAAACTTCAACAAATATACATTTTTAGAAATCTATTTCTTTTGCTGTCATTAAAGACAGAACTGAATGATCAGGAATCGTTGTGAAATAAAACTGTTTTTGATAGTTAAGGTACCTTGAGAAGAAACTTGCTGAATCAGGAAAACAGAAAGCAGCAGCAAGGACATGGGAAGTATTTTCCACTCCATGGTTGTTCTCGGGTACCCAGCCTTCACTGAAAAGAAAAGAAAAGTATCAGAAAACTACTCTTTAACCTCACCACTAGTTTATGTCTGTGCTGCATGTAGTGTTTCAGTAACCTTTAAAATGTAATTTAAAGATAAAGCCATGCCCTTCTTGAAAAAAAACTTTCAAAAATAATCAGCTTTAATTCTGTAGTAAATGTTTGACTGTTGGATTGAATCTTATGCAGAAGAAATCAAGTCACCATCTCAGTCATGTTACTGAACATTTTAATCCTTTAGAATCCCCCCCAAATAGAATACAAACTTATCTTAAAATTCTATTCACATTAAAAGACGTACTTACAGTGCAAAGTTTAAATCCTATCTTGGGGAAAAATTATCAGCTTCAGTAACATTTAATTTAATAAACACAAGAGTGAGTGTTCCAACTTTCCCTTAACTCTCAATATAAATTTACAAGCTTCCAACAGGTGCACTGCAACTGCAGTCTTTTTTAAAACTTCCTAACTACTGTTCTTATAAATCTTTTCCAAATACCTTGAATAAGGTTTATCTCTATTGAATTGAAAACACATTTACTCCCAAGAAGCAAGTTAACTTCGACACTTACCCATAAAAGGATAGATGAATATCTCCAATGTCCTGGAAGTCTTATATATCTGTGCAAATACATTAGGATGAACCAATTAGTCCAAAGGTTAGACAAAGTCAACAGTGACAGCCTATGAAACCAAACTTTCCTCATTTATTGGAAGAGAGCCCAGACGACTAGGCTTAAGCAACATCTGGAAAACACTTCCATTAAGAAAAATGACTACTACAAAATAAATTTAGACTTATTGGCCCAAACACTTCTAATTTCTAAGTGAACAAATTGTTCTGAGAGGGTAAAGCTCTGGCAGGCTTTGACTAGTGCATCGAAACAGCAATTTTAAAATGTCAAATGCTGGTATCTTTTCTTTCTTTTCCTCCCAGTGGATCTAGCAAAGAGTGGTTTTGAAATTTATCTAGTGTTAGCTTGTGTCATGTATTTTTCTGAACTTATATTAAATCAAATGTACTTTTTTTTTCTTGAGTATTTTTGTTTTCAGGGAGCTCGGGAAATAGGCTTTCAATTACAAGTGAAGGCTACACCGTGTTGATTTCCTAGGCTCCTTTATCATGTAAAAACCTGCTTAAAAATTGTGTCACTCCTATAGTTCCTTTATTTAAGCCCAGTAGTGTGCAGAAAAGGTCTTTTAAAATCACTGATTTAGCTTCCTTGCAGCAGATAAAATGTGAACTATCAGCCTCGCAGAGCTGGGTCAGCTCAGCTCACGGTTTTACCCCATTTTTTAAATGCAGTCTTCCTGTTCAAATTCTATCTACCTACAAAAGGCCTTGCTTATACCCTAGCACCTTTGTAAAACCTTCTCAGATCTATCTCAAATCAATCCCAGCCAGAATCATAGTCAGCTAATATACTACACTTTATTGAAATCATCTGTTCACCTGTTTCCTTCCAACCCTAACAGACTTTGATTTCCTCAGACACAACCAAAGTCTCTCTCTTACTTCTGTTTCCAACATCTAGTCCCGTGCTTCACCAAGGTATTTAACACAGCCTCATTGAAAGAAGCCGTTGTAACCTGTTTTCCACTGGGTGATGTATTTGTTAGGTGCTGCACTTAATTATTACAAAATGCCTTTAAGTTGAATATAATTATATCTCCATTTTACAAATACGATGAAGACTCACAAAGGAAGAATCTGTGACCCATCTAAGGACACATAGGAGTAGAAGCCAGAGTGAAGGTTTGAACCCCTGTCTTTTCACGTTAAGTTCCATCACATTCCCACTACATCCAGCTCCATTTGAATCAAAGACATCACTTCAGTACCTAATTATAGTAGTGAATTTTACTCCTGCATGTGTACATGTAGATTTATGAAACTGATGTCAAGTCCCTGCCTTTGTAAAGACAGAAATTATGATATAAGCATCTCTTTTATCCCCACGTTGCTTATTCTGGGCTAAATATGTAATGCACAAAGGCAATTTAGAGACTATCTGCTCACCTCTAAATAATATCCTTTCTCTGGGAACTACCTCCTTCTCTTTAGGGGTCGTTCCCTGTCAGCCACTTTTATATATGTGATCTTGTAGCACAACCAGAGGATTAGCAGTAGGAAACTGAACTAAACTGGGCCAATATGTTTCCCTGTTCTGGAAATTTGGAAAAGTGATTCAGACAGTGCAAGTCTGTCTAGGTAGATGTTTAACATGTTCACTTCTGTCCCTGGCCTGAAGTAAGAGAAAGTGCTTCAGAATAAAGAGTGGGAAAAGAATGAAGCAGTCATGCAGAAAGAATTCTGAGCTCCAGATACCTTCTTACTCCATGTCTTTTTTTTTTTTTTTAAGATTTTATGTATTTATTTTCAGAGAAAGGGGAAGGGAGGGAGAGAGAGAAAGGGAGAGAAACATTGATGCATGAGAGAAACATCAACTGGCTGCCTCTCACACACCCCCAACTGGAGACCTGGCCCGCAACCCAGGCATGTGCCCTGACAGTGAATTGAACTGGTGACCTTCTGGTTTGCTTGCCAACGCTCAATCCACTGAGCCACACCAGCCAGGGCTGCTCCATATCTTCAGAGCAGTCTCCCCCTTTGGGTTTGAAGCTGGCTAAAGAGGCTTTCTGTTACTTAAAATCACTAATCATACATAGTAGATATTCAAAAGACCCTACAGGATGGAATTAAACCAAATTCTCTATGTTTTTTATTTTACTGAGGTGAAGAGGGGAAAATTAGAAGCTTTATAACTTTTTCAAGTCAGACTTTGACAGTGTTTCCTTATTACTTCGTTTGACATGCTGGGAATTCCAAGAAATCAGGCGCAGATATACACACAGACACATATTCTTAAAGCAGAAATCGCTTCCTGATTATTGCCTTTTAGAACTATCTGTATGGTCATTTTTCTCCTTTAGACAAATTCATTATAATGAGGGTAAATGATATTCTTATTGGTTGAATAATCTGCTCCAGTAATATGTATTCTTAAATTCCAGCTCTAGGCTTGGAAAACAGACAAATAAAACAAAACAGACACACACACACACACACACACACACACACAATTATGGCCAACCCATTGATACATTCTCATTCCCATGAAGTATATTTTCTCTGTATAATAAAGTATGAAAAAGAATGAGAAGTTTTATTAAATGCCAAGTTTCTGAGGTTTAACTTATAAATACCTGATTTGCATAATTCTGTTGGGTAATGAGGCTGTCAGGGTAAATAAAGTTTGCCTCTGATACATGGAAGCATTTTATCTACTGAATGTATCTTTATAAACTGTACTAAACATTCTGTGACTCTTGGGCCATTTAACCTTCCTAGTTGACCACACAGCAATCATTCCATTAGGTTCAGGTTCTCCCTTAGAGATTTCTTTGCTCATTAGAGGTATTTCACGAATGTTCACTTAAACCTCATTTAATTGGGATAAAATTATCACAGGATTGGGTTTTGTATGCGGCGGGGAGAGGAACGACATAGAAAAGACGTAAATAACCTTGGATCCTGTTCTCCTCTTCCAGGCACGGCCTTCCCACAGCTCGCGCTCAGGAACTTCAGTCGCTGTACTTGGCAGCCCCACGGTGCTGCCTGCAGAGGACGCGCAAATGTTCAGGGATATTTTCTCTGCAGTAAATTACCCTGGACTGCCGTGCCCGCCTACTTGGTGCGCTTCGTCTCCATCCCTGCTGCTAGCTGTCGCTCTGCCCGACAGCCAGCGTGTCTGTGCCTAGTGGCTTCTCTCCACCTTTCCGTGGTCTTGATGTGTTCCGTTTCCTTCCAGCAGCGGCCTGGAGAAAACGGCAGCATGTCGGGGGAGACCCCAGCGGCAAGCTGGCTCTCCATGGCCCCGGTTTGGCCCATGATGCTAACTAAGCTCGTATACTCCAGAAGTGGAATATCTCTGCTCCTCTCATTTGGGAGCAGACAACCGGATGTGGGAATAGCTTTGCCTGCTCTGTCCCTGGCATTTTCACATACCCAAAAGAGGTCATGGCCTTTTTTCTGGATGTTGATCCAAAGGCTGACCATTAGATAAGGAAAGTATTATTGCATTTGCTTTTGGAGATAGAGGCAGTCTGATAAGTACTTTCTGATTTTCTTTCTGCTTTTTTCTAGCTGCCCAGCTAGAAGCGACATTGCCCAGCTTCCCTTTTACTATGTGTGGCGAAATGACTCTATTTTCTCCCATGAAAGGTGACTGGAAGGGATAGGTACAACTTTCACTCTACTTTTCTAGCAGGAAATTGCATGACGTAGACTTCTTTTTCAGGCTCCTTGCAGACGGGACGGCAGGCATCAGATCCCAGCATCAACCATGCAGGCAGGAACGGCGGCCCAGGGAATAACACCTGTTATGGAACACACATACACCTCTATGGCCTAGACTAGTCAGTGAGTCGTAGCAAATGAAATAAATCTCCCCTTTATTTGAACAACGCTCATTTAGGTTGTTTCTGTTACTTCAACTTAGATATTACCTTAACACAGTAAGCCTAGGAAAATCCCAAATATTTATAGGAATTGCATTCCAAAAATGGATGCATACGACAAAACAATGCCAAAGAATGAACTATTAGTAATGAACTATTGATACTGGAAAGTAAGAAGTAAACTATTTTGTTTGTAAATGACATGATTGTACATGTAGGAAATCTTGAGTAGTCTACCAAAAGCATAAAAACTAATGAATTTATTAAGCTCCCATGATACAAGATCAGTAACAAGATTTATGTTGAGACCATGTGAATGCATGAATTCAGATGTGTTGCCTCTTTTGAATGTTCAGAGTTCTTCATTTGTTCATTCATTCAATTCTTTTGATGAGCAAACCGTGCTCACTACTTGCTAGGCCTCGTGTGTTATTGGGAACACATACAGGGTGGGGCAAAAGTAAGTTTATAGTTGTTCATATGGAAAATAATACAATAATTAAAAAATAATAATGCAAGAATAAACTCTGTGTTTTGCTTACTCACAACTGTAAACCTACTTTTTCTCTACCCAATATATATACAAGGTAGTATTTCTTGGAAATCCCTAGGATTTCTTGGTCTAGTCAGGGAGCCGAACATTTAAATCACTCGTTCAAATCGCCTGTGAAGGAGGAGGCATTGTGGAAAAGAGCTAGAACTGGTCTTTGGCATCAGTTGGGTGGCTATTCAAATCTCAGCCTCAAAATGTTCTATCTGGTAGGTTAATACATTTCTTTTGACTTACCTAGTCCTCAGTTACTTTATCTGCAAAGTGGGAGTGATAATTCCCATTACAGCTTGGCACTGCAGTGATGAATCAAAGATAGGAGATAATATTTTAAATATTAGTGACAGGTGCTCAATAAATTAAAGGTATTCCGATCATGGTTCTGATTATGATTCTAGTGCTGTATGCAAACTGCTATGGAAACATGAATGAGGGGACTCTTCCTGGAAGAATGACGTGTAATCTGGAGTCTGAAAGCTCCATCGCTAAGAACAAGAAAGAAGACAAAGAGCATGATGGCAGACAAAATGATACAGCTTTTCTCCTTCATTCTTCTTGTCTGTTTGTTCTTTAGCTCTGATAATCTGGCTGCTTCTTTCTGCATGGAACTAA